ACCCACCACTCTCAGACACTCAGATGGGCACAATCACAATCACACAACACATGGACACACACACACAGAGCACAGTGACACACAGTGACACACACAAACCCACACACGGAGTCACTCACAGCCGTCAGCTGCCCCTTTGGTTTCCCACTCACTGGAGCTTTGTTTCAAAAGAAACAAGGAGGATATTGATGCTAAAAATAACGCCCCTTTCCCATCCTTCCACGCTGCCAGCTGCTGCTGTTCCCTCGGCGTTCCCATGGCCCACACCCTGACAGGCCGGTCCCTCCTGCCGGAGCAGGGCTAGTGCACCAGACACCCAGAGAAGGAGTGCTCCTAAAACCCAAGCGGCAGCACAATGCAGCCGTGCGTCAGAGCGCCCTACAGACGGGAGAGGGGGAAGATACAGAGGGACACAGCTAGGCCACCCTCCTTACTGGGGCAGGATTATCTCTGGCCCTGCATTCTCCAGGGCTGGCTTTAATCAGCCCACGCAATGGGGCTCCCCCCCTTCCCCGGAGCGGGGCCATTCCACAGACTTAGGGAGCTCGCTGTCAGGAAGGATTTCCTGGTTACATTGCTTGGTTTCACCGCATCCTTCCTAGTTACCCCCCCTCCCCACCAGCTCCTCCCCTCCGTGCGTTCTGGCCCCACAGGTGCATGGGGACAGGTACTAAGCCACCTCTCTTGGTCACCACTTAGCTAGGCCTGGTGTATGTAACAGCTGGGATTTTCGATGGGCCCAGGGGAGTTAGGTGCCCAGCTCCAGTTGAATTCCAACAGCATTTGGAGGAGGGTTATTTGGAAACCCCGGTCGGGCATTTAATTTTTCCTCCGAAGTCTGGTGCTGTCTGCGGCTGCCCGTGCTGCGTTCAGGCGCGGACACGGCTCGGATCGCGGAACGCAGCCAGCGGGCAGGTGGCCAGCCCACGAGGGGTATCAGGGGGCGCCGGCAGCAGCGTTGAACCCAGGACAGTGCAGCTGGGCCCTGAGCCACGCTCTGCTCTGTTGGTCTCCTTTAACGCTGGGGGAGGAATGGGCTCCTGGAATAAAACCCGAGGAAGGGCTGGGGCGGGGGAGAGGTAGCCAGGGGTGGCAGGTGCGGCGGAGGCAGGCGTGGGAATGGGACCCCACTCTAAACCCTCCCTCTGCTCGCAGTCCCCTCCTCACCCCCATGCCATAACAGCCTCCTGTCTCCTCGGTGGCTGCGGGGTCTCATCCCTGCCATGGGGGCAGCAAAGACAGGTCCAGCAGGGAGAGTCCAATCTCTCTCTTGCCTCTTCCTTTGGGATTTCACTTCCCCTTCTTTCCCCAGTCAAGCCCTTTCCACACCCCCTGTCTGGGACAGCTCCCCTCCACTGAATCTCAATCCCACGGGGATCAATAGAAATTGGAGCCTGTGAGCCATCCCCCGGGGATGCCCAGAAGGCGGGGTGCTGACAGTGTCTGCTCTAGGCAGGAAAGAGGGGCTGGGATTTATGTCCCAAAAGGCTCATGCTCTGAGAGTAACCCAACCCCGCCACTGGGTGGCGCTGTCACTCCCCTGCCCTTCCCTGGCAGTGAGGAGGGTGCTGTTGGCACAGAGCCCCGGAATGGGCTGAAGGGATGGGCTGAAGGGGGAGTAGGGCTCGGGGTGGGGGCCCTCTAGACAAATGGACTCAGGGCTATCCTGCGATTGCCACCTGCCTCCCTGACCCGCCGGCTCCCTCCCCAGATCTTCCAGAAGCACCCCCTGCGGAAGGATTACGTGTCGGCCACGGACCCGAAACCCAACACAGCCCTGCTCTCCCTGGTCCTCATGGCCGGCACCTTCTTCATCGCCTTCTTCCTGCGCAAGTTCAAGAACAGCGCCTTCCTGCCCGGCAAGGTGGGTCTCAGCGCCCGGCCTGGCCTCCTGCTGTGGCTCCTTCGTACAACCCCTGGGGGAGCCACATGGGTGGGGCCCCACCCACCCCCATTGGCTGACCATGGGGCTGGAACCTGGGACTCCCAGCGCTAAAAGTCACTGCGACGTGGGCTGAAGGGCAAGGCCCCAGCTGGGACTTCTTAACCTGAGCAGCGGGTTACACCTGATGCCCCCCGTCTGCACTTCTAGTGTCGGGTTTGCAGAGAGACTCCATCACCAGACGGGAAGGACCCTTCCCTCGCCCCAGGGTCCCCGCTGTGCCCAGCCCAGCTGCTTGGGAGGGGGCAGGATTTGGGTTTAAAGTGGCAGGGAGTCTTTGTGGCCGGGGGATGGGCGTCGGCGATGTCAGGTCTCTCCCTAGTGCAGCCACGCTGCTGGGGAGACCGTATTCACGGCAGCCACGCCAGCTCGCCACCTGCGGGCATCCTTAGCCGTGCGTTTCCATGGCGATCTCCAGGGTGCCTGCCTGAATCCTCCATCCACGAGTCGCAGCCCAGGCCCTGTTCGGTCCTCAGCCTCTCTGCCAACCAGGGGTATCTCCTGGGATCAGGGTCCGGCCCTGAGACCCACCACGCCCATTTCACCCAGGCTGCCGGACAGCCGCCAGAGACGCTTAAAAGGTCACAGAGGCCCTGGGTCAGGTCTGCAGATGGATGCGTCCACTCCCCTTGGAGCCTGGGGGGCGAATGGCTCCTCCTCCGCCCGTGGGGTCTGCTCCTCGCCTCCTGTCGCAGTACAGCATGGGCTGGGTCCTCACCTCGATGGACGAAGGAGCCGGGTGGGAGGTGGTGCACTGCCTCGTACCCGAGAGCAGCCAGTCTCTGTCTCCCTCTCCCAGAGCAGCCAGTTCCCCTCTCTCTTCTGGTGCTTCTGCACTCATCTGTAGTTGGCCAGCATCCTCCATCCCAGACATCTCCATGGTCCTCCCGCTCCTGGATACTTCGCAGACAAGCCACCTCCTCCTGTAGCTCTCTGACCTCCTTCCTGAGGGACTCCACCCACAGACCCCTCTCACACCGAGTACTTCCCTCCTGCCTGGCTTTCATCAGCAGGGACATGCAGGCTGCCTTCCCAGCAAGTCATGGCCAGGGCTTGGGTGGCAGCCGCCAGGGTCCCCGACCAGACAGGTGCAGGCAAAGGAGGATTTATCATTATTCCATTCCCTAGTGCCACCAGTTCACCAGCTTCCCCAACTTGAGATGAACCTACAGGCAAAAGCCCCCCGAGTCCCATTCCTAACCCCACTGTGAACCAGCCAGTCCCCTTGACCTGCACCCAGACTAGACCCAAGGAGGTGAGAAGCCCTATGTACCATCTCCTAGGCCCCCCCTGGGCGAGCCAGTCCCCCCACACCCGGGGCCAGATTGGAACCAATGCCCCCTAGAGGTGAAATGCCCTGTATCCCAGCCCCTGCCCCCAGCTGCGACATGGTGGTGGTTTGATTCGCATGGCTGTTTTTCCCTAGCTCCGGCGTGTGATTGGTGACTTTGGGGTCCCCATTGCCATCTTCATCATGGCGCTGGCCGACTTCTTCATCAAGGACACCACATTCACCCAGGTGAGTGAGCGGAGAAGGGGCAGGGGGCACTGATGCAGGCGGCCACGGCTTTTTGCAGGGGCGAGACTTGGCGTGCGTGGTCGGTATTGGCCTGAGAATGCTCACGCTCTCACGTCCGGGTGTGTCGCTCCTTCCAGCCACTTTGCGGACTTCACTGACGGTGGACAGGGGGCGGGCTAGTGGTTAGAGCAGGAGACTGGCCCTCAGGACTCCTGGCTTTTAAGCCTGTGTTTGAGAAAGGAGCATGATTGGGGGGGGGCTATACCGGCATAGCTCCAGCACCGCTGCTATGCTGGATTAACCCCATTGTGTAGACACAGCCTACAGGAACAGAAAGGTTTTCTCCGGTGCTGTGGGAACAACACCTCCCCGAACAATGATAGGTAGATCAACAGAAGCGGTTTTCTGTCAACCTTGCTGTGTCGGCGTAGGTCAACGTAGCTATGGTGCTCGGGGGTGTGTGTGTGTGTAGATTTTTCAAGCCCCTGACTGACAGATCTCTGCTGACCTAAAATTTTAGGGTAGTCCAGGCCCTCGTGGCTACCGCAGGGGCCTGGGAGTGAGGACTTCTGGATTCTATTCCTATGTCTGCAGCCATGTGATCATCGGAGAGTCATTTCACCTCTTGGTACCAACCTCCAAGGGCAGCGCTAATGAGGTTGCATTAATGAACTGCTCCGCAGGGCGCTTTTTGGTCCTCAGATGAAAGGCATTAGAGGGCCACGTCTCCACTTCGGAGCCCTCCATGCTGGTGACCTCTCAGGGCCCAAGAGCTGCTGCAGACTCCCAGGTGCTCTGTCCCTTCTGCCACTGCCTGGCTCCGGATTCGGGCATTTGGATCATTCATCTCTCTCGGTCTCTCTTCCAGAAACTTAGCGTCCCTGAAGGCCTCAAGGTCTCCAACACGACTGCCCGGGGATGGTTCATCCATCCACTGGGGAAAAACAGAGACTTCCCAATCTGGATGATGTTTGGTGCTGCCCTTCCTGCCCTCTTGGTCTTTATCCTCATTTTCCTGGAGTCGCAGATCACAACGTAAGCCAGTGGTTCTCAACCAGAGTTCCAGGGGGTCCGCCAAGCAGAGCTGGCGTTAGACTTGGTGGGGCCAAAGGCAGAAAGCTGAAGCCCGACCACATGGGGCTGAAGCCTGGTGCCCCAAGTCCCGCCACCCAGGGCTGAAGCCGAAACCCGAGCAACTTAGCTCCGCGGGGTCCCCTGTGGCGTGGGGCCCTGGGCAACTGTCCTGCTTGCAACTGCCCTAAGCTGGCTCTGGCTTTTACATGCAGAAAAACAGTTGCTGTGGCACAGGTGGGCCGTAGAGTTTTTATAGCATGTTGGGGGGGCCTCAGAAAGAAAAAGGTTGAGAACCCCTGATGTAAGGGACTGGAGGGTGGGGGAGAGGGAGAGGGAGACCTGGAGATTGGGGCTGCGAAAAGGAGCGGTGGAGAGATGGAGACACAGCGGAGCAAGTGAAAGGGAGAAGAGGAAGGGAGAGGAAAGAGGAAGAAAAGAAGGGCTGGAGAGGCGGAAGAAAAGAAAGAGAAGAGCCCCCACCTCGCTGCTGAAGAGACCATGGGGGCGCCATCCCTCTGCAGATCTGAGGATCGGAAGGGTTGTCCTCTTTTCTGCTGCTTCAGGGGGGTCAGAGCAGGGAGGCTGGCGGGGGGGAGGAGGGACGGATGGGCGCAAACCTTGGATTACAGCGGATGCTGTTTCACCCTCTCCCCCAGGCTGATTGTGAGCAAGCCCGAGAGGAAGCTAGTGAAGGGCTCGGGCTTCCATCTGGACCTGCTGCTGATTGTCGGCATGGGAGGCATCGGCGCGCTCTTTGGCATGCCCTGGCTCAGTGCCACCACGGTGAGGACCATCACGCACGCCAACGCCCTGACGGTGATGGCCAAGACCACCACCCCCGGGGAGAAGGCCCAAGTCCAGGAGGTCAAGGAGCAGAGGATTAGTGGGCTCCTGGTGGCCATCCTTGTAGGTGAGTCCTCCCTCTCAAGCAAGCAGCCAAGGACGGACTGGCTGCGGCGAGAACTTGCCAGGGCGGGGATGAGGGTGGTGCTGGGGGGGGAAGGCAAAGGAGACTTGCTTTCCTGCAGCCTCTTCTGTGGCTCACGAGGCATCTCTTGGGACCTTTCCCTACGCACGTGAGAAACGGGGCAATGCCAAGGAGCGCTGGGCTGGTGCTGGCACCGAGGCGCGGCCTGGGCTCTCGGCAGCTCTCCAGCTGGCCCGAGAAGGGAGAGCTCACCCTCCAGCCAAGCTGGCGTTCCGAGGCCACTCCGATCTCACAGAGCGCCTCTCTCCCCGGCAGGTCTCTCGATCCTCATGGAGCCCATCCTGAAGCTGATCCCACTGGCTGTGCTCTTCGGGATCTTCCTCTACATGGGGGTCACCTCCTTGAACGGGATCCAGCTCTACGACCGCACCCTCCTCCTGCTGATGCCACCCAAGTACCACCCCGACGAGCCCTACGTCAAGCGGGTGAGGGCGCTGCTCCTCTCTCCTTCATTGTGTGTGTGTGGGGGGGTTTCCTTGGCCGGGTGGGGTAGGGACAGGCTCTCCCAGTTGAGGAAGGGCAGGGGGGACGGGTCCTCCCACGCTCTCTGCTGTCAGGTGCGTTGCAGACAAGAGGGGTGTCGGTGCCTGTTTGGTCCAGAGCTCACATTTGGTTGCAACTCTGCAGGCTTATGTGGCTACAGGGAAAATTTCCCAGGAGGCCCCAGGGCTTGGGGGGTCCCTAATGAGCCATAACAAACTGTGCCTGGCTCCCTTCTGAGTCCTGAACTGGCAGGGGCCACAGGGCCCGACGGAACCGAGCTCCCCACGCAGGGCCTGGCGGCTGGAGCAGTCTTGCAGGGGCTGGCTGTGGCCGCTTCCCGTTTGAATGTAGAATGTAATGGGGCATGATCTGAACCAGCCCCGTCAGGCGCTAACTCACAGTGCTGGGGGGCAGCGCATTGGCCAGGCCAGCTGCTGAGATCACAGCACACCTTATCTGAAAGGAGGAAAGATCCTCCCTCTCCCACTTGGGGCCTGGAGGGGCAGGGCCAGGGCAGACACGGTATGGACCACCCACTTTCCAGATCACCCGCACGGAAACCCTTCCTCTCTCCTCCTGTCCCCAGAGACCCTCACCTCCCCAGTCCCAGGCTGCAGATGCCCCCTGCTTCCCCAGGTCTGGGGAGCAGCGGGGAGACACCCCGTTCCTCTCCAGGGCATGGCTCTTGAGTGTGGGGCATGCAGAGAGGGAGGTGCTTGTCCCTGGTGCTAGACTCTCCTGCTGGTTCGTGGGGTCCCTGTGCATCAGGTGGGTTGCGGCTCTGCCCAAGGGGGGGCGGGTGCTGTCTCAGGGGTGAGGGCCACTGGGGCAGCTCTGACTCTCCCCGGCTTTTGCCTTCAAGGTGAAGACCTGGCGGATGCACATCTTCACGTTCACCCAGATCCTGTGCCTGGCTGCGCTGTGGGTGGTGAAGTCCACCCCGGCCTCCTTGGCGTTGCCTTTCCTCCTCATCCTGACGGTGCCCCTGCGCCGCTTCCTGCTCCCCAAGATCTTCAAGGACATCGAACTCAAGTGTGTAAGTATCCATTGGCCCGCACCCCGAGCCTTTGCTCCAAGGGGGGAGGGGAGGACATGGGGGTGGGGAGCAGCTCCCTGATAGAGAACCATCAGAGGGGAGGGCGCTTCCCAATTCCTTTCTGGACAGCACTTGATCTTCCATCCCCATCCTCCAGCACCCAAGATGTGAATCCCATTGCCGTGCCCTGAGAAGAGGGGGACAAAGCCACTACCGGTGCCCACACAACTGGGCAGGGAAGGCCGTCAGGGCTTCCTGGTTCTCTCCGCTCCTACCCCCCGTCCCACGAGAGCCCTAATGGTATCCCCGCTTCCTTCCAGCTGGACGCAGACGATGCCGACGTGACCTTCGATGAGACAGAAGGCCGTGATGTGTACCATGAAGTGCAGATGCCGATCTGAGCACCTGCTTCATTGCGTCCTCCATATAAGGAGCAGAGGATTCCTTTCCCAGGCTTTTCAGAGAACCCAGAGTCTGGGTTCAAACAAATGAGTGTGTGTGTGTGTGTGTGTGTGTGCGTGCGTGCGTGTGTGTGTGGGCACATGCCCACATGCATGTGTTCTTGTGCATACAGTACACACACACACACAGACACACACACACGCCAAGGAATCTACGTAGCTATAAACCCGCATTAGATCCGCTTCAGATTCTGTAGGACCACAAAGCAACTTGACAAGGCTTCGAAACCAGACCTTGAGGACAAATCGTGCTTCCAAGCTGCATCCAGACTGTTAGAGACGGGAACCTGACACGTGGACTCCACTCAGCACTCGGTTCTGCAGCTAAGTAACCCAGGAATATATTTCTTTTTTTGTTTTGTTTTCTTTTTATGGCCTGATCAGTTGTATCCACCAGCTGGGATAAAGCACCGACTCTCTGGGGAAGAGGGAATCTTGGTTCTCATCTGCTCGCCCGGCCGTGCATGTACCACTACACAGACGGGCATGTGGGCTCCTGCTCCCCTTTGCTTCAGCCCCCGGGTAGTAATGAGATCCTGCCAGATTTATTTTTTTTACAGACCGCTGAAGAGTTAATCCCGCTGGCAGGGCTCTTTGCAGACCCTGGTGCTGGTGTATGTAGCCCAGGGCATACACAGCAAAGCTGCGAGCACTCACCCAGAGCAGGAGGAGACGGCTAGGAAGGGCTGCGTCTCCTCCCAGATGAAGAAGGCGGCTCCAAAAGAGACCAAGGAAGAAGGCAAGTGAGGAAAAGCCTTTAGAATCGCCTTGTGGCCACGGAACCGAGGGAGCACCAGGTACCGGTGCCGATGGGAAGGAACAAGCTTGCCAGGGACGAGGGAGAATCACCGGCATCACAGACGTCGCCGATGCCCATCGATCCGGGGTGGCTTCGGGCTAACACAATCCAGGTTGCCACGGTGGAGGGGTGGGGCTAGCCGAGTGATCCTGGGATCCATCCTGCAGCCTTCTGCCCAGGGAGAGCGGAGTGAGAGGGGAAGTCAGGCAGGTTTTGCCCAGGAACCTGAGACTGGGGTGAATTCTCCCTGACCTTCCCTCCCACCAGCTTCCAAGCCCTTTCCCGGGCAAACTTTGGTGCTAACTGGTCTGAGGACTCTTCTCAGACAAGACTCAGGGCGCTGTTCATGTTCCTCCTTTATACTTATTTCCGTGGCCTCTGGGGCACTTGCTTGGGAACTGAACCGGGCTCCCCTGGTTCAGGGCTCACTTTGCAGCCAGGACTGAACAAAAATGTTACCGGATGGGGACAAAGCATTCGCTGATGGCCCTGGGATCCCCTGCGTGCAGGCAAAGTGCGGCAGTGGCTGGCACCGTATCCAGCCCAGGACAAGAGCGATGGGGGTTAGAATTCTGCGCTGTCATCACGGATGACATGTAATTAGCTCCTATAACAAGTTACTTTAACAAACCTCTTTGCAGTCAGTGTAGGGCTGGGTATAAATCATGTGGCCAGCCCCAGGGGCTCCAACGTCCTCACCCCCAGGCCCCAGGGAAGGGAAGGAAAGGGAGCGCTAGCTCCAGGCAGATGCTGAATCCTTAGCCTGGCCCATGCTGCCATGTTACTAAGCTGTGTCAACATCGCTGACCTTGGGCCAAGTGCTGTGGGGTGTAAGCAGATGCAGCTGCCGCTGAGCCCCGCTAGGGTCGTGTTCGCTTACACCAGCGCTGGATTGGATCCCTTATATAACCTGACACGGGTGCTGCTTTTCCTTACTGCAGCAAAATCATCTGGACAGTGGCGTGGGTCCCAAGAAGGGCTCAAAGCTTCCAACAAGCACAGTGAGAGTCGAGGGTGCTCGGCACCTTACGGGATCCAGCCCATGTTCAGATCCTTTTCCAGCAATGCACCTGCTCTGCCCTTTCTCAGCATCCTTCCCAGAGTCAAGCCCCTCAGTGTTCTAAGAGCCCATTTCTGCGTGCCCCCCTCCAATTTTGCATCCTTGTAACTCTGCCAATCAGACCAGACTAAGGCAGGTCTGAATCAGGCCCTCAGTCTGCGAAACGTCACAAGCGTCACAACCTTTGTTTGTATGATTTAGTTAGTGTAGAATAAAGACTTCAGGCCAAATCTTCAGCAGCTCTAAATCATCAGCGCGTCTCTGACTTCAAGGATCCCAGCTGGTTTTCTTTTGTTTGTATTAACTTATCATCTGTCCCCTATAACTCAATATGTAAATAGGAAGAGGATAAATTTATCGATTTGGCATTAAGAAAATAATGATAAAACAGATCTAAAAAAAGAGTTTTGTGATGCTTTTGTAGTTAGAGTCTATGTAAAAAGCAAAAAAAGGGAAAAAAAATAAAAAAAGTGGCTGAAATGACCTGTATATTTTACACTAGTGATAAAGGATGTTTGTAATTTATTTTTTTAAAATGTATTTAAAAATATGCGGATTGTGCTTCTGCCTTGTAAAAGAATGATAGGGGATGAGGAAGGGTCTATGGAAACCATCCCCCTTGCAGAAACCTGGGGGTACCATTTGATAGTCTAGAAAGGCTTTTTTAAAGGATAGTTGTAGAGACAGATTTAGGGACCACCATGTCCACTTTATTGTTTTTAAACTAATATTAATATACTTTTTTTTTTTAATTCCGTTTTGTTTTCGTTGAAACATTCCCCTGCTGTGACTGCAACCCCGTCAGATTCTGTGTGTTAGACCAACACAAATCTGGAGCAACTCCTTTGACATCAGTGGTGATGAACTGGATTCTTACCAGTGCAAGTGAGATTAGAATCTGACCCCGCAGCCCAGTTGCGAGGGCATGAGAACCAGGAAGTGAAATTGACTAGAAGAAATAAGGTTAAACTAATGAGTTGGCTGTTTGTGCATTTCACTCACGTTGTCTCAAAAGTGAGTGAAATGCAAAAACCAAAACAAAACAACAACAAAAGAGCATAAATAGAGATAAGTGGTGGAAATTCTTTCAGGTAGAATCATCTCTGGGGTTATTGGGAACATAAAGAAGAAATTTGTGCTTTAGAAATGATGAGCCTGACCCAAAGCCCATTGAAGCCAATAGGAGTCTCTCCGTTGACTTTGCTGGGTGTTGGATCGCATCCTCTGTGATTTTTTTTTTTAAACCAGATGGTGCCTCCTTTATAGGGCTGGACCATGCAAAGTGCTGAGCAACTCCTGATAGCACCTTGCAGACTCCAGCCGATAGTTCTCAGTCCTGACACTCCTCTCCCTTACTCTGATTTAAAGCGGGAATAACTGCTGAAGTCAGCAGAGCTACGTAAGCATAAAACTGAGTAAGGAAATGGAGACTTGTTTTTAAGTGGCCTCTGGGGGGGATTGTCCTCTTTGAAGGAGAAGCCCCTCCATGCACTGGAAGGAGGAATGGGGGCAAGTAAGGGTGTGAGGCGAATGTGGCAGCACCACCTACCTCGTTTATTAAATGCTGGATTCACTACGAATTGTGGCTCTTTGGCACGTTTTTTAAAAGAGAGACTTGGACATGAATTGAATTGTGTTTTAAAACAAAAAATGAGAGCAAGGGTCTGATTCTGCTCGGTGTAACTCCAGCTTTACCCTGTGTAATGCCACTGAAATCAAGAGTCACACTGGCTTGGAACCGGAGTCAGGCCAGAGCTGAGCAATAAATGTTGTGACTGGAACTCACTAAAGGGCTTAGAGCGTGTGCATGTTACAGTCTTTTCCACGTGGGGAAGGGGGTTTTGCAGGATTGTTGCTGCCTGGGTCTGGTAGCAAGAGATACTAAATGTAAGTCCAATTTTCAAACTGGATAAGCTCAACTAAGGTGTTCTCAGTTCTACATTTGGCCTCTTGACCAGGCAATTAGTTGTTTAAACATCCCTGTAAGGTGCCAAGTGAGCCCAGTTGGCTCAGATGTCTAAGTGGCCAGATCTGGAACTGAGCAGTGTGTGCGTGAGAGAGAGAGGAAATGGTGATCATGTGTGGGAACGTATTTGTGTGTGCGAAAGAGATTGTGCGTCTGTGCACATGACAGAATTCTGTCGATTTAATATTGATTGGACCATGAGCGGAGGCTTTTCCCCTTGTTAAAAAAAAAAAGGATAGAAAGGGACCGTATGACGAAGCTGACTTTAGTGTGAGAATCCGGCCTGCACTGTACCTCACTCGAACCATTGTTGTCTGGCCCGTGTGGCCCAAACCAAACCTGCCTTGAGCTATATTGTGTTAGGATTATTCTGTAGCCTTGTCACCTGTATGTCAGAACTAAACCGAATGTTGCGTGCTTTTGTTTTTCATGAAATTAAAAATAATGCGCCTCCTGTATGATGCTTTGAAAAAAATAAAAATAAATTTGAATGAAAAAATCACCTGGTGAAATTATTATTATTATTATTTTTTTTGCATTTACCGGCAGATTCTCTTATTTGTAATAACAATTAACAGAATTGCGATAGCTCCTAGAAACTCCAGCCAGGGATCAGGTGTTGTACACAACCCGGAACAAAAACAGTTCATTCTCAAGGAGCTTATTCTATGCAAATAAAACAGTTTCATACATGCACAAAGATCATCACCTGCTTTCATTCCTAACTTCCACCACAATGTGATTGTAGCACCTGCAGGCTATGGTGCACAGACTTAGGTTACGTCTACATTACAGACCTCTGCCGGCGTAGCTCAGTGCAGAGGGGTGATCCCTGACCGACAGAGCAGTGTTGGCTAGAACCTCTAGACTCATAGACTTTAAGGTCAGAAGGGACCATTATGATCATCTAGTCTGACCTCCTGCACAACGCAGGCCACAGAATCTCACCCACCCAAACCCCTAACCTATGCCTGAGTTATTGAAGTCCTCAAATCGTGGTTTAAAGACCTCAAGGTGCAGAGAATCCTCCAGCAAGTGACCCGTGTCCCACGCTGCAGAGGAAGGCAAAAAGCCTCCAGGGCCTCTGCCAATCTGCCCTGGAGGAAAATTCCTTCCCGACCCCAAATATGGTGATCAGTTAAACCCTGAGCATGTGGGCAAAACTCACCAGCCAGACACCCAGGAAAGAATTCTCTGTAGTAACTCAGATCCCACCCCATCTAACATCCCCTCACAGACCATTGGGCGTATTTACC